GAAATTGTTGTTGATATGAAATGCAACAATCCAGCATTCAGTGGCAACAGATGCAACCTTGAAAATCATATACTGAGGCATCTTGCACTAAAGGAGGATTTTAGTTTATATGAAGAATACATTCACTACCCAGAGAATTATTTTTAAATATTTATTTCAGAACATGTGGAAAGATTTTGCAAAGACCACAAATTTCTGCAGGAGATGCTTCATGGAAATCTAGAAGAAATGAAATTACGCATTTTACGTATCAGCACAGAGGTATCTGATGAAGTGAACCTGAAGAACGGCAATGCATCCATGTGGCTCGATCATTTCTGTAAAAAACTTGGGGACCACATGGTCATAAACAGGGAGAGTCTGACAAGCATTCAGGATGAAGACATTAGTGACACAAAGTTTCTGAAAGACATGATGGCCAAGTATCTTGAAGAGGTGGTTAAAATTGAAAATATGGAAAATGTTCACACATCCTCCAAGCGTTTGTGCCTCTTAGAGGTGAAACTGCATGAGATTTTGTGTAAACAGCTTGAAGGATGTTGGGCTCAGTGCCCTTTCTGCAAGGCCATCTGCACAAACACAATCAGTAACCATTCTGGTGACCACATGGTTCAGTTTCACCGGTCTGGTGCTCTAGGTCACGTTTATCATAATGACAAAGATGAATTTTCAGTTGATTTTTGCTCAACCAAGGTATGCAGTGTTCATTCATTCAAGTGTCATGCCAAGGAAGTCTGGATCCCCTTTATGCTCTACAGACTTGGTGGTGACCCTTATGATAAGTGGAGCATCATCGCAGATGGGAGCACACAGGGTTACTGGAAATGGTTTATTTGCAGGTTTCAGAAGGAGTGGGAGGATACATGTGGATACAAATTTAAAGGCGAAGGTGCGATTCCTGACAGCTGGAGAAAAATCACAAAGGAATCAGTGCTGGAGGAATTAAACATAAGAGACTAAAACTACTGCAGTGATGCATATGCAAGATAAATCTCACAAGGGAACATTTAGCATCTTAGTTATAGACATTGTGTACCTGTACATGTGCAAATGGCAAACAAAGGATTTATAATTATCATTTATCATGGGGTAAAAAAAGTATAAACATTCAGTATCTAACAGAGCATGTGAGTGGAGTTGAGCGGAGCGTGAGCGAGAAGCGGAGCGGGCGGAATTTGGTCTGAGCGCGGAGCGGTTTTTTAATTAAGGCTGGAGCGGTCGCTCTGTCTCGCTCCAATTTCGCTCCGATACCGCTCACACTACGATTCTGAGGCGTGCCCAAATCTACCCAGAATTCATCTGTACTATTATCAAGACTGTTGGCCGAGATGGAATTCGCAAAGTATTTCACAAAGGAAACTGATAAATCATACAAGTGTACTATTCTTATCAAATGTATAGATGACAATAATGTAGAGCAAGAGCAACAATGTGGTGAAACTGTTTCAGTGATGAAGATTCACTTTGGGAATCACTTTTCTCAGAAACATGAGAGTGTTTTATGCGAACAGGCGGAAGCCAGAGCAAAACGTGAGCAATTAAGTTTTATATGGTTGTAGCATATTAAGTCTATAAAGTAAATTAAAGTATAAAAGCCTATAAAGTAAATATCGGTAATCAAATAAATTCGTTTTGTCATTCAAAGTAGGTCTAATAGGATTTTTTTTAATTTCACGTAACGCCCCAGTGGGCACACACTCATGGAATCCACGTGGAAAAGATGTGTTTTCACCACGTGGAAAAGATGGGTAATTTAGGCGTAAAAGGCAAGTTGAATTCCACGTGGATGTTGACACATGGAATCCATGTGTTTTCACCACGTGGAAAAGACGTGGAATTTAGGTGTAAAGGCAAGTTGAATTCACGTGGATGTTGGCCCGTGG